GTTTTTTTATAAGAATATTATGGTCTACTGTATCAAAAGCTTTGCTAAGATCTATAAAAACTCCAAGAGTAAACTTTTTCTTGTCAAATGCTTTAAATATATCATGAACAATATTAATAATGGCATGGTCAGTTGAATTACCTAGCTGAAATCCAAATTGTTTATTATATAAAATATTATTTGTATTTAAAAAATTCAAAGTCCGATTATACATAATTCGCTCTAAGATTTTTGAGAAGCAAGGGAGAATTGAAATTGGTCTGTAATTTTCAAAATTAGAAATATCTCCTGATTTAAAAATAGGTATAACCCTTGCAATTTTAAGTTTCTCAGGATAGACACCTTGTTTTAAAGAGAGATTAAAAATATGTAAGAGAGGGATTGTCAAGTATTTTATTGATTTTTTTATTACATTACTACTAATATTATCAACTCCTACACTTTTGTTTTGTTTTAAAAGATTTACTGCATCTATAAGTTCATTTTCAGTAATTTCATAAATATCCATTTTAGAGGTCTTATTAGGAGTAAGATATGTCTCAAAGTTTACTTCAGTGGTTTCTATTTTTGACGCTAGAGTGGAACCTACACTTACAAAATACTGATTAAGTGTTTCGGCAATTAAAGATTTATTTGTAATAACTTTAATATCAATTGTTAGATTTATAGAAAGAATATTTCTGTCAGTTTGTTTCGTACCAATTACTTCCTTAATAATGTTCCAAGTATTGTGCCGATCATATTTATGTTAATACTTTGATATTTTTCAGCTGTTGATAGAATCAGCCTCTCTGAGAGCTGCCACAGAGTTCGAGAAACCTGACTACTTTAGCCATTGATTTTGAGTACATCGGAAGAGAAAGACAAACTTTTAAATAGTTTTATTTAACTTTTAAAATTGTTTTTCTAACAGCTATCTCAAATAAACATACAATGTTTTAGAACTAACCCAACGGTATAAATTTTATTTTACAAATTTATTTGGTTTTTAATTTACAAGCATTTAAAGTTTGAAAAAAAATGTTTAATTATACAACGACTACCTTTTTTTAGATAAACGTGTTGATTAGCCATAGAACTAAAGTTATACAATTAAAGGAAATAAAGCAATGAAATGGAATTAATGATACAATTCATTATAGAGTTGAGAAAGTTAAGTAAAAAATATCAAATTCAAACATGTATTTGTAAGTTAAAAATTTCATCGCCAAGCATGTATTTTTTGGTTAGTATGCGATACACAAACAGTTTTGACAACTTTATTTTTCGCATGTTACCATGGTTATTTTTATTTTTTACATGTAACCATGGTTATTTTCATTTTTTAAATGTTTGTTCCAACCTTTTAAATACTTCTTGCATTTTTTTGATTGATCTTGATTGTTTGTTGCGCAGATCGACTCTTCAATTATTGATTATTTTGCAAAGCATTAAAATCGAATTTCCTTTTTTTTTTGAAATTTTCTCATTCTTCTGGTCTTCAACCTGTTTAATTATGTTTAGCATCTCGGGTAAAATGAGATTCTCATTCAGGTCTGCTAACTCCAGCTTTTTTTCGCTTTGTAGTGTTGAAATGATCAATTCATAATTGTTTTTTTAATCCACTTTGTAGAGCGGTTCTATTTCCTTGAATAGCAGTTCGAATTTGATTACATTTGCTTTCCATTATTTTATTAGCCTTATTTTTATTTTATATTTGGCTCCATTATTTTATATGGCGTTTCATTATTTTATATGCAGTTCCGTTATACCCGCTTTAACCACTGCACTATGAATGCAGTTAACTAGTTAAATAACAACTTATCTAAAGTTAACTTAGAAAACTTAGTTAACTACCTTAGGAGTTGTCCATCAATCACGCAATGCTAAACTTCAGTAATAAAGAAAACAAAAGAGATCAGAAATTTTTCTTCGTGTTAAACGTGAAAAGCTAAACGAAAAATTAAAATAGTGCATTTAAGTCTTATGAAAATCGCTAGCGTAAAATAGATTAAGATCTCCTACTTCTATTTTTTAAATAAATTTAGAGTTGCATAATTTATGGACAATCCCTTTACTTAGTCAAGTTACCAATTACCAAAGAAATATGAAGAGTAAAACTGAAATTACAGTTCAAGAGAAAATTAGTTTGAACAAGTACAGTTATCCTGTTAGAAAACCATTTAATATAGCTAGGGTATGAATAACTTTATATGATAGTTCAAGACCAAAATCAATAAAAAATTTACTAAATTTCGTAAGCTCTAACATTTAAGATAATTTTAATATAAATTTTTTATCATATAAGATGATTTTAAACCTATTCCCAGACCTTTCCTGTCAAGCATATCGACGTTGGTTAAAGTAGAAAGGCAAACCATTTTTGATTAAAGTAAAAATGCAAGCCAACGTTTACTTAACGTTGAAAAAAAAAGGTCAACTAAACGTTGAAAGAAAACGTTTGATAAACGTTAATTTACCTTTGGTTTAATAAACTTATATATGCGTAAATGTACCGTGAACAAAATCTTTTTTACTAGCATGCCCAGGACATTATTTATCCGTACAAAGGTACTATCGTCTATACAGGGAATATTTAGAAAGAAACATACGTCTAAATTAAAACAACTTGTTTTATAGTAAATTACATTCGCAAAAAGAAAACATTTTGAGTAGAACTACGTCCAGAGTAAGTAATAAAACAAAATAGTTTCCATATAATATTTTTTTTGAATAATCAATTTGCACTTGTTTTCGAAATTGCCCCGAATTCCGGTACTGTACATATAATAAACGTTGCATGGAAATCATTTGATTTACTGTTTTTTCAAGATTTGTATATGCTTATTCAGGGTAATATGTGACCATTTGCAAATCCTATTACAATCCTTACAATACAAAGATTGTCATTGTAAAACTTTAAAATATGTATAGTAAAATTTATGTATACATTTTTTAATGTTGTTTACCTCCCTAAGACTGATAGGGTCACTAAAATTAAGGAGGCTACTTTATTGTGGTTACAAACATCTCTCAATTCTTCAAGTTCGAAAAACGAACCTTGAAAAACAAGGCCTTTGCGCGGAGAAACAAGCTGAGCGGGGTACCACCGGGGATGTGGTGGGGAATGAACTCGAAACTTCTCGCTTATGAAGCGAGCGCTCTACCATTACATCACTATCTTAATAAAATGTATAACATTATTAATGTCTATTTGTCAATCTGTAACACATGTAACTAAATTAATAATCAAAGCAAACAAAATCACCAAAATAATCCTCAGTGGGCATGGTAACGTTCAGAACGTATTTTTTTGCAAAGAATTATTATTTGATACAAGCATAAACATAAATAAGTTTGAGGTTTGCTCCGAAGTTAACATCACTAGAAGCTGTTGCGCTCACCGAGATATTAATGCAGTTATTTTTGAACAAAGTGACATATTCAGATACTTGGTTCTTCGTCTCTTCCTATTTTTTAACTTCCTAGCAAATTAAAATAACAGCAATTTGCTACAAAAAACAGTATGTTTAATAAAACACTCAGTTGTTTTTATAAAAGATTAATAAATGTTTAAATAAGAGATTAACACAGGTTTTAAAAAATTTTTCGATTGTACCTTTGTATCTTTCAATATAAAGAATAAAAAGTATAAACATTGCTGACCACTATGACCACATTGCTGACCACTATGACCACATTGCTGACCTATTATAAATTGAACAAAATAAAAATTTTGCTTGGACCAATGTTTACTAATGTTCAAAACAAAACCAAATCTTTTCCAAATAAAGTATTTATTACATACCAAAATTAATCTTGAAAGATTGCAGAGTGACGGGTCCAGAAGGATGAGGGAGGGGGGTTAGTGATCGGGGTATGAATCCCGCCTGCTCTCATCACCACCACCTATATCTGAAAGTCTTAAAATATCTTAGAAATTGAAGGTCTTTTTTTTAGGAAACGCAAATGTGGTACAAAACACCAAAATATTTCAACATCAACCCACCCTCAAACACACCAAAATTTCCTGGATCCGTCACTATTGCAAAGTAAAATATTAAAAGCGAAATTATTCTATTTTATAAAAGTTTTCAGAAGCTTTTCTAATAAAGTCTTTATCTTTTAATAAAATTTTTATTTTTCATAAATCCTTAAGTATAAAAATGTTAAAAATTGCCAACTTTAATTTACTTTAAAAAAAAACGGCTATTTAAAGTAATTCTTTGTTGATTGGTTGTTGATTGGTTGTTGATTGGTTGTTGATTGGTTGTTGATTGGTTGTTGATTGGTTGTTGATTGGTTGTTGATTGGTGGTTGATTGGTTGTTGATTGGTGGTCTCATCAAGTTGTTATAACTCAAGTTAACTTATTTTTTTGCTTCCATAATAACTACTCGCATCATGATGAGGATGAATAAAATCATTTATTATTTCAACTGGTTCTGATAATTTTTAAGTTAAGTAAAAATATTTAGTTATAAAAATGTAAAATATATATAGTTATAAAGGTAATTGTATAACATTTTTTGTTTAAAAAAAATATTCAAAACTAAAATTGTTTTTGTTTGGAAAAAGATTATAGAGTTAAAAACAATTTTCTCAGATTTCTAGTATTTACTTTTTTGTTTTTTGACAAAACGGCGCTGTATGTTTTGAGTTAAAGCTTTTTTATTACTTATTTTGTTTTTTGACAAAACGGCGCTGTATGTTTTGAGTTAAAGCTTTTTTATTACTTATTTTGTTTTTTGACAAAACGGCGCTGTATGTTTTGAGTTAAAGCTTTTTTATTTTAGTCCAACTTAAGCTCTTCCTCCTTGAGTGATTACAAAAATGCAGTCACATTATTTCCACGATGCAACGGTCAGTGACTTTCAATTTACATTGATTTCATTGTAACCATATTTTAAATACACTAATTAAGATTTTAAACACACTATTTAAGGTTTTTCTTTTGCATGCGATAGACATATTGGTTTTTAAACAAATAGGTTAACAGAGGGTCACGAGTCTTACCACACAACTTTTACATCAAAGTAAACAAGCATTATCATATGCGCTTTATTTTACAAGGACAAATAACTGCGATTAAATTTTAGAGTAAATAAATAACTGTGTTAAAATCAGGGGAGCAGTGATTTTTGAAATCGGAAATTATAAGTTCAATTTAAACTTTTTATACTCATTTAAAACACAACTACCAGATTAAAGATAAAATAAAACGCGACAAACATAAAATAAATTCGGGTCGGATATTGGTAAGAATTGTACAACCTCATCAAAATTTGTTAATATTTATCAAAGTACTAATTTTCTCTATCTATCTATAAAGTTAATCAGAACAAGATGTAAAGAACCAAATAATAATTGCTAAAGTTGTTCCACATAATTATTATTTAGTTAAGCCATATATATATATATATATATATATATATATATATATATATATATATATATATATATATATATATATATATATATATATATATATATATATATATATATATATATATTTATAGCTTAACTAAATAATAATTATGTTGAACAACTTTAGCAATTATTATTTGGTTCTTTACATCTTATTCTTATTCTGATATATATATATATATATATATATATATATATATATATATATATATATATATATATATATATATATATATATATATATATATATATATATATATATATATATGGTATATCTAAATAATTACTTTGTTGAATAACTTTAGCAAATATTAATTGGTTTTTTTCATGTTGTTAACTTTTTAAATCAATGTTATATATTATCTAATAATTGATACAATTACGACTATATATTACAATATTATGGTTAATGATGGCTCTGAAAAAATTGGTGATAAAAATAAACTTGGTTATTTCTTGTTCCTAGCACTTAACTTGTTGCATTTATATATTATAAATTATATTTAGTATTAAAAGGCAGATGCATGTAAAAATAAATTGAAAATGTTAAACTTAAATGTTATATTGTATGTAAATATTTTATATAATTACAAACTCATTTTGTTTTGTTTTAAAAACCATTTTGTATTTTTAAAATCTAACTTTGCAAAAAGCAATAAAACCAAAAATAAAAAGTGCATTATAGAAAAAATTTATATTTAATTTATCTTAAATATGTTTTGTTAGATAATTAAAACGTCATTATCTTTTTTTAATTTTACGTCATTTTAAAAATGAATCATTAAACCACATCGCGCCACCTACTGACACACCTCCATATATCAAACGTTTTGATTTTTATAATTTAAAAATTTATTGATCTTTTTGCGATTATTGCAACGGACTTATTCCAGTCAATACTTTGTTATCATCAAATCATAACAAATATAAAAAATAAAAAAAATGGTAAGTTTTTATTTATTGCTATTTTTAAATAAATATCTTATAAAGTATTTAAATTATTTTAAAACCCTTTATTTATTTCAAAATGACTTTTAAAAGTAGATGAATTCTTTAGATATTTTAAATGCCTAAATATATTGAATACCTAAATATAAAGACCACATGTTTAAATGTGTTTAATCTTGAACTGTTGTGTTTTTATGTTTGTTAAGTAAACAGTGTAATAATATAAAACCATTTAATAAAACAGTAATTAAAACTTAGTTTCATAATTTTTTGTTATAAACTTTTAAATTATTTATAGCATGTTGATTTTTTTTTTGCTTCAAAACATTTTTACTTATCAAGGATATTTACAAGGTTTGTAATTACGGAGTACGTTTGCGTTTACCCCTGCAAATTTACAAACATTTTGTAATCTGAATTTTCACCTAATTTTTTCTTTTTTTTCTGAATTTTCACCTTTCACCTAGTTTTTTCATATTTGTTATATACTTTAAAGCGATAAAAATACGATAATGAGATATAAGTTCGATTACCTTGTCTAAAGGATTTGTTAGCGCATTAAATTTGTTATGCTATCCACTGAAGTTTTTATATTGTTAACTTAATAATTTTCTAAATCCATTTTGCATAATTAAAATGGCCATAGTTTTCAAGTCATTATATTTCTTATTCTCCATTTTATTTATTTAAGCTATATTATAAGAAAGATGTTAAACATTGTTTTATGTTAAACACGGTTGTATATTTAACACAATTTTATGTTAAACAATGGTTTTATGTTTAACACTTAACCGTTTGATTGCGCGTTCTCGGCAAATGGAAATTCAACTTTATAATCATTTAATTGTTTACTTGGATATGATTTTATATGAATAATATTCAATGAAATGATGAGTTTTTGAATATTGAATTACCATATTTATTGCAAGACTTCAACCAGTGCACTTTTCGCCAAAGCATCTTTGTTTAGACTACGTCAAAATAGTCTTAGTTTATAAACTAAGGACGTTTTTTTTTCAAAATTTCCTAAAAGACATCCTTTCAAAATTCTTACTAATTAGTGAGAAATTTTAAACTTACATGCAAGTTATGGAAAATCATACTGCATTTGTCTGGGCTTGTTCCAATTCATTTTTCAAAAAAAGCTTTCAGGAAACTTTTAATATACAAATTTAAAATACAAATCTCTCTCGTTTCTCTATTTAAATCATGGCAACAAAGTACAACAAAGTATTATTAATTAATATTCAATTTACAATTATCAAAAACACTAACAATTTAATAAACTTTTATTAATCTAAAAATTAAAAAAAAATTAACACATAAATTTAACTTGAAAAACAATGTCACCGATTAAATAATTTTATATATTTTTATATAAACTTTTAAAAAATTATATATTTTTTTAAAGTTTTAAAAGCTTAGCTAAAATCCATTAAAACTTTCAATTCGTCTTGATACTTAGCAATAACAACAAGTTGAAACTATTTTAAATATTCAAATATTTAAAATTATTTTTCTAGTGAAATATTTCAAGTAATTTTGGTTGAAATTTTAACCAAACTAATTATCTCTTCATTTTTTTTTTGTTTTTTAACGTTTTTTTTATATTTTACATATTATACTTGATAACCTACTACTTACCTAATACCCATGCACTATTGAAATATAGTCTAACACCGTTTACAAATAAAGAGTTTAATCCAAAAAAAAATTATCTTTTAGATATTGATAGATAAAAACCTTAGATGTTGATATTTAGATATTTCAGGTATTGGGAGACATAGAGGTAGGTACAGACATTGAACAGCCGTAGGACAATGGTTAGAGTGCTAACTTCAGAATCATATAATTCGAGGTTCAATGCTAGCTATGGCCGCATTTGCAACATTAGTTATAAGGAATGAGACTATCATTTAAAATCTATTTTGCGTTGCTTTGTAATAAGACTGTTATGACTTCTTAAAGCTTCTAATTTAGTAAATAACAAAAAAAAAAAAATGTTTTTAAAAAGTTAATGCCTAGAATTGCTTTAATAGAGTTATGACTAATAAGATGGATAACTAATCAATATGTGATAACTGGATAACTAATCAATATGCGATAACTGGATAACTAATCAATATGCGATAAAACAGTTTTTTGTACAGCGTGCGCATTTGTTACTAGTTTTATTCTATTGAAAATGTTTTAAACGAACAAAATAAGATGCATGTACGTAAAGGAATGAAAAAGTCATTGTTTAAAAAAAATGTTTTAAAACATTTTTTTTAAACTCCTCGAACTTTTATAAAAAAACCTTTATTCTCAAAGCAATGAAGCAACAAGAGACTAACAAAATTTAAGCGCTATTTTATGAAACCACGCTTTAACTATATATCAATGAAGGCAATGAAGCAACAAGAGACTAACAAAATGTAAGCGCTATTTTATGAAACCACGCTTTAACTATATTCTCAGAATGGTGACTGGCAAACATTAACGTGATGCTTTGCAAACAGCCTAACTTACTTTATCTGAGAGTATGGCAAATAGTCACATTTTAACAGTTCAAGCCTTGTATCCTTTGCAAAATTAGGAGCCATTGCAAGTTTTCTTTTTGTTGAGAAAGACGACTAAAAGAAAGAAAGACTTAATGGTACGGTACAATTTAAGACTTTGTAAGCTTAAAATCTGTATGATCATCACAGTTAACTTTACAGTTGAATTTCGAAGTGGTAATTATTAGCCATCCACAGGATTTTCATGGATTAATTCCATCTGTATTTTTCATCACTTAATGTGATGATTAATTCCGCAAACAGATTCATTAAATATTCAAATATTTTAGACCTGCCGTCTTCTATTAAAAGTTGTACTTATGCACGTTTTTGCAAGTAATGTTGTAGCCATACTCTGAGATAATAAAGATTGAACTACGCATCCTTTTATTGAACAAAGAACATACAAGATACTTTCTAAATGATTGAGAACTACGTAATCACCTACACAACGCATTATAGTTAGTTATCGGAGGACAACGGATTTGAAAGTCACATAAAGAGTATTTCTTCCTGGTTTTTGGTATCTAGGAACTTTAAATATGTAACAAAATATTATGACTTCTTTTGGAAAAAAAAAGTAGACTTTTAGGTTAGAGGAACAATCAATTTTTAACCCGAAGTCCTTATGCATAATTGGAACAAAGACTTCAGGACCCCGGAACTCTGGGCTTAAAAACAATAAGTTCCTAATCATTAAATCTCATAGATTTTTTCTTATACAAGATCATAAGTTAACAAATATGTTTAGAGCTCCTGGACATTTGAGACCAGTAAAAAATAGAGATATAAAGCCGGATTCCTTTTAGGACTCCGCTTCCCTGATCAAAAGTATTAAAACAAGTGTTACATTACGTCCTGATGTTACTTTAAATAATCTTTGAATATAAACATTGTTTACAACTACTTTATTACTATTTAAAATTCATGTTAGAAACGACAGTAGCAAAAGTAACAAGAGCCAACTTGTTTACTTCTTCCCACAGTAATAAATACTTTTCATTGTATGGCTGTTTGTAGTAAAAAGTTTACCAGTATAATAATTTTTTTATTTTTAAGTAAACAAGATATACAAATTATAATAAAAATCCTTATTTTTAATGCTACTTGACAACTCATCTTTAGTTCTCTCTCTATATATCTCTCTCTCTCTTTCTTTCAATTTTCTAACTTTATTAAACTTGACCTTAAACAGAATTTATTAAGCTGTTTAAAAAAACAACATAGCAAGATTGTAAAGTAATCTCCTAATGTTGTTTTATTCTTGCGATAAAAATAAAAGCGATTTTGAATTTTTTTTGGTTAGAATATTTTTCATTTTTATTGTAGAGTAAAATTAAAATTTGAAAGTAAAAAATTTTATACTAGTGGTTCACTTGATAATTAAAAACATTACGTTAGTAATCTTTAAACATTTTTTTTTAGTTATATTTAAACATCTTGTTTGCGATCTTTAAACATCTTGTTTGCGATTTTTAAACATCTTGTTTGCGATCTTTAAACGATTTCTTAATGATCTTTAAACATTTTGTTAGTTTTCTTTAAACATTTTGTTAGTTATATTTAAACCTTTTGTTAGTGGTCTCAGTTTTTCTCCCTCTAAGCTAATTTCTATTTTAGCAAGTTAATGAATTTCGCAGCAAGCACGTATTCTGATTTCCGTGTTCATTTGTATATTCTTTTAAATAATAATAAATCATTCATTTCATCATTTTTAATTAATATTTCTTAGACAAAATTTTTAATAAAACTTGAATACTATTTACAAAAACGTATATTTTTAAATTAGGTTTTGAATCGGAAGATGAAAGAAAAAGAAATAATTAAGACGAATGTTTTACACTGCCCCGTGCAAGTTATAAACGGGGAATTTAATTCCCTACCACTTTCAGTCAAATGTTTTGTTCTTTCTAAAATTCAGTTGTGTCAACCTGATAATCTGCACATTTGCGATGGATCTGATGTTGAGGCAAAAAAATTTGCAGAGCAATTAGTTAAGAGTGGAACAGCAATTGAGTTGCGAAAACATATTAACAGGTTTTTTATTTACAATTTTACTATAAAAAGATTTAAAAATATTGGGTTAGCTAAAAAGTAATAAGCGTTTTTTAGCCAAAGTTCAATTAATTATTTTTAATTCCAAAACTAATCTTTAACAACACCCATCATCGTCTGCGACGTCTTTCTAACACTTATGGAAAGGACGAGTACAGTTAGTGTAAAAAGTTTTTGGCTTTAAATCATAAAAGTGAATTATTTTATTTTTGCAAGCTATTGCTTAGTGATTGGAACAAATAATAATTATAAGATTTGAGGTTCAATGCTAGCTAAGGCCGCATATGTCATAAAACATTTTCTACTGTAATTATGAGGTTTGGTTGAGGCATTTCTCATTATACAATGCCACACGCATCCCATTAAACAAAAGCAACACTATTTTTTGGTTAAGTTTTAGAGTTAGTTTTGGCGGTTGATTTAGCCTTAACCACACCTTTTTGTGTGGCTTACAAAGAGTAACCGTTTCTCATCTCCGGTAACGACGTAGCCAAATTAGTAACACGTCCGGTGAAGTTTATTAAGCCGACTAAGCTAATTATTCCGACTAGCGTTCCGTTCATGAAATAACCAAATAATGAGTTTGGAAGATCTTACTAGGAGTTTTTAAAAAATCGTTTATTACTTTTTCGTTAACTCAATAAACTATATTTTACATATTTAAATTTATATGTATGTGCGTGTGTGTCTTCATATATATATATATATATATATATATATATATATATATATATATATATATATATATATATATATATATATATATATATATATATATATATATATATATATATATATAATACATATATATATATATATATATATATATATATATATATATATATATATATATATATATATATATATATATATATATATACATATATATATATATATATATATATATATATATATATATATATATATATATATATATATATAAACATATATATATATATATATATATATATATATATATAAACATATATATATATATATATATATATATATATATATATATATATATATATATATATATATATATATATATATATATAAACATATATATAAACATATGTATATATATATATATATATATATATATATATATATATATATATATATATATATGTATATATATATATGTATGTATGCTAAATAGCTATGCTGTTAGAACAAATCCATTAGACGTGGCACGAGTGGAATCTAAAACAGTCATTTGCACAGAAAATAAAAATGAAACTATTCCGACAACTAAAAACGGAGTCCAGGGTCAAGTGGGCTATTGGGCAAGCATCGAAGAAACTGATTCTAAACTGATGGACTTGTTTAATGGTTGTATGAAAGGTGTGTAGTTTATTTGTTTGATTTTCTTATTTTTATATTTTGTTTCAAATATAAGTTTTGATAAAGTATTTTGAAACGCGGTTTCAAAAAATCTATTTTCATCACACCAGGTCGAACAATGTATGTTATTCCATTCAGTATGGGTCCAATTGGGTCACCGCTTTCGAAAATTGGAATACAGATAACTGACTCAGCATATGTTTCTCTTTCCATGCGCATAATGACGCGAATGGGAGAAGAAGTGTTAACGGCTCTTAAAGATGGAGAATTTATAAGATGTTCACACTCCGTTGGGAAACCACTTCCGTCTACGCCAGACCCGTATAACTGGCCGTGTAATCCAGAAAACACAATAATTGCACATTTTCCTGTTCGACGTGAAATTGTATCTTTTGGATCAGGGTATGGTGGTAACTCTTTGCTAGGCAAAAAATGTCTTGCGTTACGAATAGCTTCATGCATTGGAAGAGATGAAGGATGGTTAGCTGAGCACATGTTGGTAGGCTTAGAAAATTATATAAATAACAGCAACCTGTAACTTTTTTTAAACAAAATTTAATTAAAAGTGTGGCGCAGAGGTGAGTCACTAGCTTTTTATATCCAGCGGTTTAAATTTAATCTCAGAATTATATCGTTATATAAATACGATTATTATTTAGTTACAATTGTTACTTAGTTACGATTATAACTTAGTTACAATATTAGTTGTAGCTCAAATTAAAAAATATTTTTTAAAATACAGCAAACACAGTTTATTACCGATATTTAAACAATTATTTCCAATAAGTTGTTTAATGTTAAAAATAAGTCTTTATAAATTTGACTAAACTTTATTTATTTGTTTATTTATATTGTTGCAGATCTTTTTTTTTTTTTTTTTTACAAATAACAGATTTTGGGTCTCACGAATCCATCTGGGGAAAAAATTTATATTGCCGCAGCATTCCCTAGTGCTTGTGGGAAAACTAATTTAGCCATGATTACCCCAACTATTCCTGGATGGAAGGCTGAGTGTGTTGGAGACGATATTGCATGGATGAAATTTGATAAAAATGGTCAGTTAAGAGCTATTAATCCTGAGAATGGATTTTTTGGTGTCGCTCCTGGAACGTCATCTGAAAATAACCCTGAAGCAATGCATTGTTGCAGAAAAGATACTATTTTCACAAATGTCGCAACAACAAGCGATGGAACATTTTATTGGGAAGGTAAAATTAAAAATTTTAAAGTTTAAGTTTTTTTTGTTTTTATTAAATAGTATGCTCGAAGAGATGCTCCCTTACCTCAAATTAGCGTTTTTCTTTCTCTATAGTCAGAGCTTGTTTCAGTAATTAATGAGTAATAATATACATATGTAGCCTTAATTTTGTAGAAAATATTTAAGAACAAGATAAGTTAAATTTTATATTAGGAAATTTTAAAATTAGCACTCTCTAAAGTATAGAATTTTTTAATACCGTCTCCGGAACTTAATCAATCATTTACAATTTATCCTATTAATTATTGAATAAATTCCAATGATTGAACAAAATAAGTGTTTATGTACATGTATATGTATGCAGGGCCGCCCAGAGCTCTCATGACGCCCAAGGCATAGTAACAATTAGGCGCCTATATAAGCATACATTTTTTTTAAATTAAAAAAAGCATGTACAAGTTAATGACTGTGTTTTTAATTCTAATACTGCTGATTTACACCCATATTTTAAATAAAATCTGGATCTTATCTGGATTAAATTTTGAACACATTTACTGATTAGGATTAATTAACAGATTTTTTTAAATTAATATTTAATATTTAAAACATTATTTTTTTAATATTTAAGCTCTTTTTTTTTTGCTTTTTTTACAAAAATTGTTATTATCATTATGTTTATTACAATGTTATCTTACAACAAAAAATTTGAACTAAAGTGTATATAGATTGGAAAACAGGCTGTATGTATGTATGTACGTATGTATGTATGTATGTATGTATGTATGTATGTATGTATGTATGTATGTATGTATGTATGTATGTATGTATGTATGTATGTATGTATGTATGTATCCATGTGTGTATCTATGTATACCAATGTATTTATACATTATACATTAATGTAAACACGTATGTATGTATCAAACGTATACTTAATCAAAAAATACGTTTGATTTTGATTTGATGATAACTATCAAAAAAGCAGAACTTGTATAGATTTTTTTAGTTTTTTTATTTATCTTTTTTTGTAGGCCTAGAGAAAGAAAGAGATTTGAATAATATAGAAGTGACAGATTGGCTTAATAAAACTTGGAGTGCACAAAGTAATAGCAAAGCAGCTCACCCAAATTCTCGATTTTGCTGCCCTGCAAGAAACTGCAAGATTATGGATCCTAAATGGGAAGATCCAGAAGGAGTACCAATATCAGCTATTTTATTTGGAGGACGACGCCCGGAGGGCGTACCGTTAGTTTATGAGGCGTTTGATTGGAAACACGGGGTATTTATTGCAAGCTCATTGTGTTCTGAAACAACAGCTGCTGCAGAGTATACTGGTAAAAAGATAATGCGAGATCCTTTTGCAATGAGGCCATTTTTTGGTTATAATGCTGCTCATTACTTCCAACACTGGTTAAACATGGAAAGACAAGATCACACCCTTCCAAAAATATTCCACGTTAATTGGTTCAGAAAAGATTCTAATGGAAAGTTTTTGTGGCCTGGTATATAGATTTGTATACTAGAATCTTATTAGTTAAATACTTTGTTTTTATTTTAACAAGTTAGTTCTACTTTGTGATTTTTCTTTCGTGATGTGTTAAATACAATAATCGTTTTATACAAATGTCTTAACTAAATATTTATTGCTTTTTAAGTAAATACTAATTATGCATGTTAATTAACTACAGGATTTGGTGAGAATTGTCGTGTGCTAAAATGGATTATGGAGCGTGTCACTGGAAAAGTCAATGCAGTTGTTTCGCCGGTCGGTTTACTTCCTGATATAGGAGGACTTGACTTAAGCGGACTAAGTGAAAAAATTAATATTGACGAATTAATGTCGGTTCCAACCTCTTACTGGAACAATCAACTTGATGATCTTGAAAAATACTTTAGTGAACAATTTGGAAGTGACCTTCCTAATGAATTATGGGATCAGTTAAAAAGTTTTAGAGAAAGATTAAGTAATTTGAACATTTAATTAGAATCCAATATGCCATCTTTTAAATTTGTTTTTGAGCCAGAACCTTTACTCAATTTCAATATATTAGGTGAAGCAAAAGTATAGCGTCACTTTTGTTTATTGCTGTTTTATGATTTATTATTAAATTTGTGTTAATTACATAAAGGTATATCCTTAAGCATTGCGTTGCGATTATTGCAAAATTGTATAAATTTTGTTTTATTTTTTATTTTATAAAGATAGATTATATTGTTAATAACTGTGAATATGTTTAAAAGTTTTTTTTATAAGAAAAATACTCATTAGTATTACAAGAAAAAAATATATATGAATAATAAGACTGTTGTTTTTAATAGCTATATCTTAAGGGCTGTCCATTATTTATGTCAACAAAATAGGGGAAGGAGGGTCTAAACTTATTTGACAATTATTGACAAGGTGAGGGGGTAGAGGTCAAGACATGTTTACGTGAACTATGTTACTTTTTTATCAAATTCAATCACTTAAAAAAAGAAAATTAGGCAGCGTTTGAAGTCATGTGTTACGTGCTCGCTCAACCTTCAATATTTTAATAAAGCTTTTTATATTCCTACTTTTTAAAAATCCTATTGTACTTTTAAAAGACCCAACACATTCAGAATTAAATAAACACACAAGAGATGTTTTATGGTAACACTATTACTTTTTCAATGTTGTTGTTGGTAAGTCTGCTGTGCAAACAAAAAAGATTAATTTAGGTACATAGTCTACATTATACTTTTTAAATGGGTATACCAGGGGTACAACCTGCGGCTTGGTAGTATCATGCAATTTTTTCAATGTCAAGATGCGGCTCTTTGCACAAAAAATAATAAAATATTAAAATACAAATGTTGGTAGCTCTTAAAAACTGAAAAACTTTGCAAATTGTAACTTTTAGCTCTTCCGTTTCAAAATATTGCTAATGCCTGTTTTATACAGTTTGTTATATGCATTTTTTGTTATGTGAAATTTGTTTAGATCTAATGTAAATAAGTTTAGCACATTGAAGTGTTTCATTAGTTTGAAGTACGTTCATAATTTAAAACTGTAACGTTTTAACTACAAAGGTTTACAAAAAAAAGATTTTAGGGTTTACAAAAATGTGTATAAATTTTTACAAAAATGTATACACATTTTTGTGAACCCTATAATCTTTTTTTTGTTCATGTAAATGTAAAAAAACTGGAAATATGTTCAAATTAAAAGTTTAATAATTTTCATTCACTTTTTGTTCAGAGCAAGCATTTGTAATTTTAAATGGTTACGTTCATTTGAAATACCTTCAAAAGTTTTTGAACAATTTTTTATTTCTAAATATTTTACTTTTAATCATTTTTTTGTTTTAGTGGTAAACTAAACTAAAAATTTTAGTTATAAACTAGTCTATTAAAAATAATGTTTTTGTTTCTTTTTTTCCATTTTAATTTGATTTTCAGGTCAGGTTTTTTTTAAAAAACTTTTCTTTATGGGTTGTCCATAAAATATGTCACACAATTTTTGATCGTTTTTGACCCCATTCCTTCCCCTTGTCCAAAAAATAATAAAAGATTAAGATACAGATGTTGTCAAATTACAACCCCACTCCTTTTTTTTTTTTTTTTGGTGGGGGGGGGGGGGGGGGAGGGGAAGGGTCGGAAAATTTGCATGGTCATAACTTTTGTAATTTACAATATATTTTTACAAAATTTAAAATCTGTCGATGAATTTAAATTTAGTTTAAGATAATAAAGTTGAAAATTTGACTACATTAGTGCCCTCACGTTTGGGCAACGGGGCAAACTTTTAGGGCTTTTTTGTTCCCAGGCCTTTGCAATCCCAAATTTTTGCAAGGCTTCCTCATTTGACATAGGTATGAACATATTTAAGTTTGGAGTTTGCACAATGTGTGGAAGTGGCTATTTTTCTCCCACAGCCTGTAGGTGAAAAATAGCCAGATGCATAGGCGCCCGCAGGATTTTTTAATGTTGCAGATAGGACACTTCCACACATTGTGCAAACTCCAAACTTAAATATGTTCATACCTATGTCAAATGAGGAAGCCTTGCAAAAATTTTTAACAACTTCCCTGAGGGTCACAGGGAGGTTGTTAAAAATACTCCATGAATCTGTAAAGGCTTCTGAGAGATCCATTCTTGTCTTTATACACAAAGTTTGATTTGATGGTTCAATCAACCAATCATTATAGAAGCAAAATACAGAAGACGAAATAAGTATCAGTTATGTTAAAGAACAATCTTTTTCTATATTTTATCTTTCCAATTAAACTTTATATTGAAGAATCTGGCGAATCACTATGGACTAAAGAAAAACTATCCTCTACACTTTACAGCCGTCCAGTACGATTTCAATATGTAAAAGAAAGAGCTGAAATTATTACACAAGAATCCTTTATTTCCTTCAAGAACAGTTATTTTAAACAAACGGCCTTTATTTCCTTTATTATCAAACATAAGTTAGAATGCACAATGATTGATGGAAAAGTGGCAATAGTTTCGCCTTTAAGTAATTCTTTTCAAGTATGTAGTATTTGAGGACTGACCCTTTCAAATATGAACAATCTAAATATTGCTTTTTCAAAAGTCTCTAATACATTTTCCTCTGAGCTTGGATTGAGCACATAACATGCATGGATTAGGTACTTTGAATGCTGCCTTCATATAAGTTATAGAATTGAATCAGAATGCTAAAGAAATTGTTATTAAAACAAAGATTATTATTCAACAAAAGATGGAAGATCACTTAGGTTTTATTGTAGATGTACCAAAAATCAGCGGTTCAGGTACAACAAATGATGGAAACACGGCACCAAAAGTATTCCGAAAATATAAGGTGTCTGCTGAAATACTTGGTTTAGATAAAAATCTCATGAAACGTTTCTACGTAATTCTTTGCGTTTTATCGGGCAAACATCAAATTAACGCTGATGAACTTGAAAAATATACCAAAGAAACAGCAGAGCTCTGTACCCATGGTTCCCAATGCCTCATATTGGACATAAAATTCTAATTCATAGTTCTCAAGTTGTAAGAAATATACCATAACCAGTAGGTCTTCTTTCCGAGGAAGCTAAGGTTTTTTTTTAAAGCTTTTTTTTTAATTTTAAGTTTTGTATATTTTTACTCTAATTTCTGATAAAATATCTAATAAATAAATGTTTCTTTGTTTATAAAGAGAGGTCTAACACGTCACAAATACAATGTTATGTCTAAAATCTCTAATGCCTTATACATCTTTTTTTATTAGGGTGTTTAGGGTGCCTATATCTGTAAAAAAAAAAAAACAGTTTAAAAAAAAAAAAAAAACATAAAAATTTCTATTTTACAACTTTAAAAATAAATTAGTTTGATTTTTTGTCCATTTGATCTCAATCTTAACCCACTGTACAATGCATAACTTTTTAAAGCTAGATAACAAGTAGGTTTTCGGCTAAAAATCTTTATGTTAAAAAAATGTATTTCTCAAGGTAAGCACATAAAAATTTTAGCTATTGAATATTTTATATGCAAATATTTTTTAAATGTTAAAATGTAATTTTTTTCTCAAATATTTTAATGAAATATTTATTTAAATAACATCTTTTAAACATTTTTATGTTTGGTAATATAAAATTAAACTTTTTCATCTATCTTTCCTAAAATAATAATCTATTTTCATTATTTAAAGACTGATTTAGAAAAGATAAAAATACCACGTTTTTTGTAACTTATGATTCATACTTTTTGTAATAGCGTTGAAACATTCATGAAAAACTGTAAAGAAAGATTCCTATAAGTGCTGTAATGCCATAGAAGTGGTACAACAGATAAGAAAAATCAATTTAATTAAGTTTTAATGATAAGGCGTAATTTACTTTTTTCTTTTTAGATTTAAAAATAAAAGGAAAAAATGTAATGCATAAGTTATGAGACAAAACAAAAATATTATTTATAAATATTTTTTACAAATAAAGAAAATTTTTTTGTTTTAACTAAATGCATTTATTTTTTATTTAAAAATAGTTATTTCTTATAAAAACATAATTTGAATACATATCTCAACTTTGTGTTGACGCTTTTCAGAAGCAACTGTAAAAAATTCAAATTAATTATTTTTATTTTGAATTGATTCCCATAAACCAAGACCAACTATGTGGAAGTTCGGCAACCTTCCGCGTAAACTTAAACCAATTATCCCCAAAGTCTTTTAATTTTTTTTACTTGAGTCACATTTATTGGGTTGGATTCAGGATAATTTTAATTATTTAAATTAAACTAGAGTGATAAACCAAACTAGAGTAATAAGAATTTGATAAGTCAGGATAAAGAACGCGATAAGCCAAAATATTTAGTTAAAAATGCCATGATTCTTGTAAACAAATAAAAGTAGTTTTTTTAAACAATTATTTACATGAAATCTTGTTTTGATTGTTGCAGCCTTGGAAGTGCGAAACAATAGCTTCGATATACCACGTTCAGATACGGCTAAGCACATTATTATTTTTTTAAAGAAACTTTCTTTTTCTACGAAGCAAACTCGTTTCTGGGCATATTTTTTCATGTTCCGAGTTCAAGATTATTTAGAATAAAAGTTTTTTAATTCAGGGTTTCGGGAATGTTATCGGTTGTAAAACAAAAGTATTTTTCAACATTAATGACCAGAAGAGATTTTGTATTAAAGAGTTTCTTAATTTTTCTACTACTTTTTCTGTTTTTATTTTTTGTTCTACTAGAAGTTTTTTTGGAAGTTTATTCTCTAGTCCAATATATCGGGTGACAAAATTAAGTTACTGAGGTAATGATTGATATGTACGAAAAAATGATTGATATGTCCAAAAAATCTAGACTTGAAATTTAACACAAATTTATTAACATACATTAACTAAGTTACAACCACAATCCACTATAAATATCTTCAGTTACGTTAAAGTTTATGTGGTACCAGATTGAAAGGGATCAAGAGACTTGACCATTTTTTACTTGCCTATAAAGCTGAAAAAAAAAAAAACATAAAAGAAAATAAGGAACAAGAAGAGTGGTTATTATGCACTTAGATCAACTAAACAGATTCAAACCTATAGGAAAAACCAACTTAAAGATGTTGAAAAGGTTTTCAGATGTGTAACAAACCTAAAGCAATTGAGCTGAAGAGCTTTGTGATGGAATATTATTCATGCGACTTATAAAATTCTAAAATAGAGTAATATGGGTATATTAAATTATTATAAATGGAGTAAGATATATATAATTGAATATAATAAATTGAAGCATACCAACAGTTTACATACATAGTTAGCTTTTTTCTGCAGTAAAAACTATTTGTTTTAAATGAATAGTTAGCAAATAAAAAAGTTTTAAAACGTAACTTTTTTTATGTCTAAAAACTTTTATCTGCAGACTTTAATAATATTAATTAGGCATAATAATTTAAATTTTAAAGTGGTATCCTGGCGTTATTTCCATTTTTTTATATTTTACTCATAATAAATACCTTTGACGAAACACTTACATATTAGATAAAAATCTAAAACGTATTACAAAAAGATTTTCAAAAAAAAAAAAAAAAAAAAAGATAGCTGACTCAGCAAAAAAAAGTCAAAAACTAACGTCTCTTGAACATAAATATCTTAAGGTTACTCAATATTAAATATTAAAATTATGCACAACGCTATTATACTAATGCAACTTGTGCCTGATCCAAAAATACTTTAAAATTAGTTAAACGATATAAAATGGCAGACTAAATAGTTTAAAAAACTATTTTTGACAATAAAACACTCAGTTGATAGGATAGTTGTAGGTCAAGTTTAATTATTATTATATTTTCTTAAGTTGAGGCACTAAACACTATTGATGAACATATCCTGAAAATTTGAAGCTAAAATAATGATTTTTTATTGAGATATCATTATTTAACTACAGCTCATAAAAAAAAATTGAGAAAAATCAATTTTAAAATTAAAAACTATGTACACTACCTTATGTACTACCCAGATAAATTATCAAAAATCACCAACATAAAAATCTTTTGCAGTATTATTTAAGAAAATAAGATATTTACTGTTGAATTCAACATGGTTCAAATGTCTAAATATCATTTATTTAAAATTTTCATTTTTTTCCCAAATTAATGCCAGAATACCACTTTAAAGTAATACTATGATGTAACAACATGTTTAGTATAGTAAGTAAGACCATTTTGTGAAAACATTTATAGTTTAGTTTATGAATTCTTTCACCCATTTTGAGAAAAAAATTAAAAACTAAATTGAGGTAAAATGGATATACAGGTCAAACCTTTTCCATTCAATATAATCTTATATATATAACTGCTACATATATATTTTTTATATTATATAATATTTATATACATTTATATACATAATATTTATATGTATATATATCTTTATTGTTAAGAAGCATTATATATAATGCTTCTTAACAATAAAGATCCTTGTCCAAAATAAATTTATTTTCTCTAACATAAATATGTTAATAAGTCGCGGTGTTATAAGAAGAATAGAGAAAAATATATGAAAAGAAGCCTGTGTCAGCAGGAAGAAAGAACTTACTAAATTAAGGCAATATAACATGAGATTTTAGGACATGTTAAGTATATGAAAAAAGATAAATAAAAAATATATACTTTATTATGAAATGTCTACCACATATAACCTTATGGATATATGAAAAGTGTTGTTAATAAAGAGAATAGTAAGTTAGTTTCTGTATACACCTTGAATTTAAAAAAACTTTCTGTGATTTTTAAATGAGACATTTTATAACAAAAACAAAAATATATAAAGTTCTATCCATATTACACCCATCCCCCAAATTACCCTATAGTACAAGTTTGCAAAATATTTAATTAGGAAAATATATGAATAAGAACAAGTAAGAATTATTTAAGACACAAATAAATTTTAAGTTTAAATCCAATTGCAAAACCTGATGTGTTACAGTTTAACCAGCAGTTTTTCATGGCTTAATTTGTAGACACGCAGAAAAACACGCAGAAAAATACGCAAATTTTATTTGGATTTTAAAGCTATTCTTAAAGAAACTTACACAGACAATAAGTTAAACAGACGAATCATTTATCTAATGGATAAAAAGGTATAGCAGATCAACTATACAAGAATTAAAATAGCAAGACATTCAGCAGAAACTTTTGTGTAAAATGGCTTTTGAAGTTGTTTTAAAAACAAAATCTCATTTGTTTACTTTTCTACCTGGTGATCAGGGGCAAGGCCGGCGCAATAGGGGTGTGTGGGGGGTGTGACACCCCCCCCCATCAAAGATTTTTAGTTGGCAAACTGGACCCTTAGTCGGCAAATCGGACCCTTAGTCGGCAAATTGGACCGTTTTAGACTAGTTAGTCAGCAAATGTCGGTGGACATTTGCTGACTAACTTTTGGTGGACATTTGCTGACCCCCCCCCCTCTACGTGACACCTACTCGCGCCGGCCCTGGTCAGGGGCAATTCTAGAAACTCTGCTATCTAAAAAAAGTAAAAAAAGCAGTTTTTCGATTTAAAAAAAAAACTAATATTTATAACAAAAGTATTTATAGAATTTGTTATGCATTTAATTTTAAACATGGTAGTTGTCATTTTGAGAAAAACATGGTAGTTGTCATTTTTGAGTAAAAAGAAATTTCAACGTTCAAAAATTTTAACGTTCACAAATTAATAGTATAGCAAGATTAACAATAAGGTTGTTTGGGAGAAGTAAAAACAAAATATTAAAAAGTAGAATAAAAGTTAAAAAATATATATTTTTGTGTGAGTTCCCACCAAATTCTAGTCCTATATTCCCAACCGAAAGAAAGTTTCATTTTTCACCATAAAAATTTATTTTATTCGTTATAAATTTTACACTTTTTTTCTCATTTTAGTTTACACATAAAATCCCCCTTCCCCTCCCTCTGCTTCCTTAAAAAAAATTGGGTCGGTCACGTGTTTATAAATTTTTAGTATCATTCTATTATTTTTTTCATTTTACTTTTTAATTTTTTTCAGATTAATACACAAATATGTGCACGCTATGTAGAACTTGAACCATAATATTAACAAAAAATAGATCAAGGTTAAAAATATATTGCTATAGCAACTTTAATCACAAATTGTTACCGAGTCATTTAAAATGTAAGAGTTATTCTTTTATAAATAATTTAACAAGTTAAAGAAATTAACTAAAAACTGGATGTATCGTTAAAAATTGAAAAATTTAAGAAATGCTGGAATAAGCTTTATTGATTTAAAATGGTTTCCAAAATAGAAAAATGGTGAGTTTCTCAAAAATAAACGGATTTTTTAATTTTTTTTACGTTTTCCTTCAGTTTTTTTCTTTTTCGACAACTTATCATGGACAATGCTATAAAACTTTGTTCTCTGTACAAGTATGTTTTTAAAATTATTTTTAGTTAAAAATGAAATCAAGATTTAAGATAAATCGTTTTATGGATTAATTTTTTTATAAATTCAAATTAATATATAACCTTAAATATAATTACTTTTATTTATTTTTAATATTTTATTTTATTCTTTAAATCGCAGAAAACAATTTTTTGAGTAGCAAAGTATGTCAAGCTAATTTCAAAATTAACATTCAATTATTCATTAAATTAATTAAAAAAATATAAAAAAAGAAATGAAACAGTCTTGTGTGCACCAATATTCTTTAAAAAAAGTCCGCAGAATATTTTATAAAATTAGAGTTCTCATTACATATTGACCACACCTACCTACTTATCAAAAGTACCTGCCTACTTACATTGTTTTCATTTCATTATTTAATGGACTATATAAAATGTTGTAGTTCTTTTTTTTTAAAGGTTCTATTTGCACATAAAAATGATAAATGTACAATTTTATTCTTTATTTGTTGCCATTTTAGTGTAACGTCTTTTCAAAGAATGTAAAAGGATACTGTTAGTTAAATTGGTCTAACTTGATTCACTAACTTTTATTATAAATATTTTATGGTTTAACTCAATTAACTTTATTTTAATATAAGCATTCCATGGTCTAACTTTATTCACTTGTTTTTAATATATTCAATCTATATTAAAAAAGTAATGCTATGATTGACTTGTTTTGATTTGGTGGTTGACTTGTTTTGATGTAAAGACATGATTGACTTAATTTGATGTAGCGACGTGAATGACTTGTTTCAACGTCTTATATAACATTTAATATAATAAAATAGATAAAACAAAAAAATATTATATGATAAATTAATTCAATATGCTAAAAAGATATGTTCATATTAGCATAATTATAATATAATTTAGAAGGGTTTCATATTAAACCCCGCTCAATTATACTCAAAACTTTTTAATTATAATTAAAAGTACAATAAGGTTAAACATAACTAAGTTATATTAAATTTTGATATAATATATTTCAATAAAAGTTAATAATTATACATAATATATATAATTAATCTAAATATTAATCAATATATATAAATAAATCTGTCATAACATTCGCACCATTGATTTTAGTTACTTAACATAATGACAATATAAATTCAAAATTTAGTTGATAGTTTTCAGATAGATTCATGCAGTTATATTTTTATCATTAGCTTGTTTTTTGAGTTTAAAGTTTTGTTACAACCATTTTAAAGTTGTTTAGCTTCTAATAATGGTTAGATTCATATCAAAGGGTAACGTACAATAATAGTTGCGTGCTTTTAATAATTCACATTTGAATTTCAATATGTTAACTTTTCAAAATTGTTACTTTGATTGTAACTTTATAATTATTCAGTAATTATATAAATAATGTTTAATACATTTAATGCAAAGAATTATAATGTATAAGCAGTAATTGCTGAAAGTATTGCTTTAAATTTACAACATATATTTTTCTAATTATTAACTCGGTTGTAGACCGAAGATAACCGAGTTATAACACAGGTATTTATTTTTATCTGCTATATGAAACACTATTTACAGATTAAACTATTTTCAATAAATTTTTTGTTATGTAAAAAGTTTCTTTTTATTGAGACACCATTTATATACTTTATGCAATCAAAAGCCTTTTGGTTGTTCACGTATATATTCCTCATATATGTCATGCGATATAAGTTTTTATTTTTTTAACCATCGCTTATGTCAGCATGACATAAGGCTATTTGTACTTGGTCAGATCATTAACAATAAATTTAGTTTCAGATAGATCTTTTCAAATCTGAAAAGTCTCAAACGAGTCAGAAAAAGTTAAATCATCTTGATATATATATCATATTATAAACAAGGCAATTATATTATAAACGAGGCAACCAACCTTTGGCCCAAGTTGCCCATTTTGAGCAGCCTTGGCGCAGTGGTTAGAGTTCTGGCTCAGAACCCAAAGGTCCGAGGTTCGACACCATCTCTAGCCCAACAAGCGACATTGGTACGGAAGGAGGCGTAAACTTCCTGTTAAATGCTCTCCCGCGGTGCTCTATGATAAGACCGTAAGGACTTCTGGGAGCACCTAAATACATACAAAAAAAAAAAAAAAAAAAAAAAAAAAAAAAAAAAAAAAAAAGATAGCTTTATAAACAACATGTATTAATTTAAAAAATAAATAAAAAAGAACCATTTGACCGAGGTTTTTTTCTGGATATTTTATTCCCTATTAAAAATATATTGATTCATTCTAGGTTATTAAATAATCATTTTACTTAGATACATAACAAGAAAAAACTTTTATTTTTATGTCATACTTTAATGTAATTTTTATTAACGAAAAATATTTTAAGTTTAGAAGATGAAACTAATCCACAAGATTTTTTAATATTTTGACTTATTCGCTGAGTCAAATGCTCATTCTATTGTTTTAAAAAACAAAAACTTTTAATTTTTCTTGTATATTAAACCACTAATAACCATATTATTAGAAATTTGGTGCTTAATATAACTTATATACTATGTGATATCTGAAAGAATGTGTTTTGAAATGGAAAGCTCGTGAAAACTATTTTATAGGCGAGAGTTGCCTTAATTGGAAAAATTTAGTAATAAATATTTATTAACCAATAATGGCTTAACTAGGAAAACATTAATTACTTGATTAATACAAACAGACATCCCTATTATACTTTTAACCGAAATTTGACATAATTGATTGCACTGTTATTGGAAATAAATTTGTTTTTGCAAAGATACCATATTGTTCCAATCAAGGCAACTGGTTCCTAAATTGGGACACTTTGGCTCCTTAATCAGAAAAGGTTATTTAAAAAAAAAAAAAAAAACAAGTAAAATTATCATAAATTGGTTAAAAATGATTTTTATCTTTACAGTGAAAATTTAAACAATTAATTCATAACTTATTATAGGATTAGTATTACCCTGGCAAACTTAAAGTCTATAAACAAAAAATTGTATAAATGCTTCAATTGTTAGGACGTTCTTTTAATTTATTGATTAAAATGCACTAAATAAAGAATTATTTTTAATGGTTGTTACTAAGTATTTTTTAATTACACTCGAACTATTTTTTACAACAATAATATAATATATATTTCGTCATTAAGAAAATATTTACAAAATTAGACTTTAAAAACTGTATATACACGGCTGGGGCAAAAAGAAGACAAATTCAGTCTTATCGCCAAAGATAAGACTGAATTTGTCAAACAAGAATATAAGTAACAAACAAAACAAAAAACCAAAAAACCAAAAAAAATCCGTTATCACAATATAATATATGCGTAAGGTACATATATAAATACAAATATCTAAATATTTTTCATTAAAATTTAATATTTTATTTTATTTATTTTTTATTAGGATTTCAAATTTTAATAGTAAATAAAAATGAGATAAAACATGATAATTTAAGAAGGTAAAGATTCAAATTAAAATCAAAAATTAATATGTTAAAAATAAATTAAATATCAAGTAAAAAACAAGTGATTTACTTACTCCTATTTAAAAGTTTCAGAAGAAGTCAAGTTCATTGTCAATTATCAAAAGTTTACTTTTTATTTTTATTTTAAATTGATTAAGGTAAGAAATTTTTTTAAACTCATTATCCAATAGGGTGTTCCATAATTTAGGTCCTCTGATTGCTATCGAGAACCTAGTCGCAGAATAATATTTTTTTGGTTGAATATAATTGTTGTTTGAAAATCTTGTTGGGTATAAATGATTTATTTTTTCGAAAAATGAATTAAATAAAATGGGTGCCATTTTATTATCTACTTTGAACATAAATATAAAAATATGATATAGGTTAAGTTGAAATACGTTAAGTATTTTGAATTTATTAAAAAGTAATTTAGTGTGCGAAAAGCGATTCACATTTCCAATCATTCTTAGAGCGTGTTTTTGTTTAATTAGAAGCCCTTTATTTTCAGATACATTAGTGCTGCACCAAGCAACGTTAGCGTAATTTAGATAGCAATGAATAAAAGAAAAGTAAATAAGTTTCAAACAAGTTTGGTTCAACAACTGTTTTGCTTTGTATAAAAGGCCTATATTTTTCGAAATTTTATTTTGGATTATTTGTACGTGCTCCTTCCATGTTACGTTTTCATCTAAAACAACGCCTAGAAACAACAAAGAACTCTCTCTTTTGACATAAGAGTTATTAATAAAAAGCTTAGGAAGTTGTAAGGGTATGTTGTCTTTATCATGAAGACGATGGAAGAAAGTATATTTTGTTTTTTTAATATTTATGGACAATTTATTTGATCTAAACCATTCGCTTAGTTTCACAAGCTCCTCGTTCACTGTTGTAAATAAAAAATTAATATCTTTACTTGAATAAAATACGTTAGTATCGTCAGCAAATAAAATTGAATTTAAGATATTGGAAAATTTACTCAAATCATTTATATAAATGAGAAATAAAAGCGGTCCTAGAATTCATCCTTGAGGGACTCCGCAGGTAATTGTCATCAAGTCTGTTTTCTCGCCATCATATAAAATGCATTGTTTCCTATTTTTTAAATAACTCTTAAACCAGCCTAAGTTAGAATTTATGATACCATAATTTTTAAGTTTATAAAGAAGAATATTATGATCTACGGTATCAAACGCTCTGCTCAGATCAATAAAGACACCTAAAGTAAATTTTTTTTCATTAAACGCTTTAAAAAATTCATGCACAAGATTAATTATTGCGTGATCGGTTGAATGACCGGATTTAAACCCGATTGTTTATTGTAAAGAATATTATTTACATTTAAGAAAGAATAAAGTCTATTATACATTATACGCTCCAAAATCTTTGAAAAACAATTAAGAACAGAGATCGGTCTGTAGTTGGAAACATCAGAAGG